GAATAAAACCCAAGCTGTCACCACAAGGGCCCTCTATGATCTTTGTCTCTCTCTCCTTCATCTTCCCCTGCCGTGCTCAATCTTACTCCCTCTGCTCTAGCACCGCTGATCTTTTTGACTCTGTGGCACTCTTTGTGCCAAATTGTTTTCTTCCTCTGGAATGCTTTTCCCATAAATGTCAATATTTCTGGGTCCCTAAGTATACCACTCAAATATCTGCTCAAATGTTACTTCCTCAGAGGGACCTTCTCTGATCACCCTTATCTAAATCAATTCTTCCTCACTATCTTGCTCTCTGTCCCTTCTATCTCCGTATATAACTTATAATTTCTCTCTCTCTGACATCACATTGTATAAGTGTTTGTTTATTGCTTGTCACCTATAGAATACAAATTCCATAAGTGCAGACACTTGGTCTATCTTGTACATTACTTTATTCCAAGCACCTGGAAAAATGATTAGCACAAACTAGGTGTTCAACAAATAAAGTGGAATAAATTAATAAAAGCATGTGACTAATTGTTGACCTGGGGTCATCGCAAGAGCTAGAAAGAATATCATCTCCATGCACTCAGTTTTCTACATAAGGAAAGATTTACAAATGAAAGAAGATGAATCGGGCTTTATTTGACCTGAGGAGCTCAGAATGAAAGGGAATTGACAGCGGTTTTATCGGCGTTAAAATGTTGGATTCCTCCCATGTCTTGAGGAAGGTCAGGGAAGGGCTGAGAGCTCAGTCAGTAGCAGTGAGCTTGTAGGGTCACGTAGAAGATGCCAACGAGGATAAAAGTACATGAGGCTGATTCTTTTCATGGTTCTTTCCTTGCACCAGGTTGCAGTGAAAGCAGATGCTGGCAAGAAGCACCTACCAGACAAGCAGGATCACAAGGCCTCCCTGGACTCAATGCTTGGGGGCTTGGAACAGGAATTACAGGACCTGGGGATTGCCACAGTGCCCAAGGGCCATTGTGCTTCCTGCCGGAAACCGATTGCCGGGAAGGTGGGACAGCCGACATTTTAGTCCTATAGCCATCTGTGTCTGCATGTATGTCTGTGTCTGTCCCTCCAAGGGTTGCTCTTTCTCCTTATATTCTAAGACACTTCAGTAATCGTCAGTAATTACTGATCACTTATAGTGCTCTGGCTTCTGAGCTAAGTACTTTACAAATATTAATTCATTTAATGGTCACATCAGCCCCTCAAGGGCTTATTCTTCCCTTTGTACAGATAAGGAAACTGAGGGTTCGGAGACATTAACTGATATGCCCAAGGTCTAGTAGAGGTAGAGGTATTAATAAGATTTGATATCAGGAGAGTCTGTCCCCCGAGTTTGAGTTCTTAACCATTTTTCCGTATTGCCTTTACTGAGAAGATCTTTCTCACTGCTTCCTCTGTTCAAACATACCTGGTCTAAATTTATTGATGATAATTTTCAGCTGAACTCAGCTCCAAATCGTAGCTACCAACTCCTGCTCTGCATCATCCTTCACCAAAGCCATGATGAAGGGCTTAGAGACCTCACTCTGCATGGGGCGCGAAACGAAGTGTTCAGACTAGAGGAATAAAAACTGTCACTGGGCCTTTATCTCTTCCAGGAGTCCCTCCCATGGCAAGGCTGTAGTTTTCTCTTGTCTATCACCCTTGTGCCTATGTTGTTTCTACCACTCTCTGGGGCAGTGGAGTGGTAGCAAATATTTACAGGCTTTTATCAGAGTGACCAGTCAGGAAAGTGGGCATCCTCTTACTATCCAGAAGGCACGGACAACAGACCGCCTTAGGTGGAAGCTAGGTCTAGGCCTCAGC